TTAACCGACTGCGCCACCCAGGCGCCCCCTTTTTTTTTTTTTTAATAACAGCTTGATTGAGATATAATTCACATACTAACATCTCTGAGCTTCCATTTCTCCGTAAAGAAAAAGGATTGCTTAATTTTTTGGAATAATGATCACATGCGTGTAATTGCCTGCAATGATACTTAAGAGTTCCTGTTCTGTGTTTTCTTAGGTTCTGTATTTGTCTATTTGGCACCCAGTAATTACAGGGCAAAACTGATGGCCAGTGCTGTTCACGTCTCCCCTGTGACCCAGAGGCCATGCTCTGAACCACCGACTTCTCCAACTCCCCCACACCAAGGCAGTATTTCCCCCGCCCCTAAATCACCCCAAGGCCCAGTGCCAGACAACCAGAGACAGTGCCTACGTCCCAGAGCCCACCAGGAACTCAAACCAGATAATCCCAACCTGTTTACCTTTCATGCCTTGTCTTTCCCAGAGAAATCCCAGTAAAGGTGGTGGCCTAAGCCTTCGCCTTGCTCCATTCCGCCCCCTGGCCGACACCGGTGATCCCTCCCATGACCCTGTGCGTCTGGGTCTCTGTTCCTAAGACAACTGTGAGTAGCAAACTTTTCTTTCAGTGGCATTGGCCTCTCTGTGTGGTCACTCAGTCTCCTTCAGAAATTAACACCTGGACACAAATCAATTCTTACCTCAACAAATGTTGAGTTTCGCGGGGGGGGGGGGGAGTGGATGGGAGCAGCAATCATGTCTTAGGTATTTTTCTTCCTTTGCAAACAACCTTTCTTCCCCACAAGTATTAGCGCTGTGCTGAACTCCTCATCATAAGAGTGGAACTTAATCAGTGTTTGTTGAACTGAAGAGATAATTATGTTCTCTCCTAAGATATCACTTGGTGTCAAGACCCAGGCTAGAACCACAAGTGTAGACCAGGGTGGCACATTATGTCTGAACAAACCCAGGAAGCCAGGGCTTGTGAGATCATAACTAAGTCAAACGCCTACATTTCCCTTTTAAGAGAGTTCCTGTACCTTTCGTGGCATTCTGTGTTTGTGAGCCATCCCGTGATTTCTTCTGGGCCACAGGACCTTTCTCCGTGGTTGAATTTATACAGGAAGACTCCAGGAGAGGAAAAAAAAAAAAAAAAAAAAAAGATGAAATTGAGTAAAATTGGTTGGGAGAGGAATACTAACAGTCAACATGCAATTTCCCAGACATTTCTCCTCGTTCTTAGCGATGCATCACGTGGAGGGAGACCACTCAGCAGAGCCTGGGCACCCAGCCCTCTAACCAGGGCGCGTGGCCAAGAGGTGGCTGCAAACGCAGGTCCTGGGGGCCGAGCAGACCGGGATGCCAGTCCCAGCCCTGTCCCTCAGCAGACGCTAAGCTTGGACAAGTCTCTGGACGTCTCGGTTGCCTTAGTTTCCTATTCGGTTCTTAGGAGGATTAAGTCAGCTAATGCGTGCAAAGCAAAGCGCATGTGTGGCTGCTTAAGGGAAGTGGACCGAGAGCATTGTGGCCATTGTTCACGCAATCACTTACCACACTCCCTCGGGGGACATTTCACTGAGCAACTACTACTGCGTCTATTACTAGGCAGACCCTGAGACCTAGCCCCTTGCCCAGAGGAGCTCCCAGTCCAGCAGGGGAGAGAATAGTAAATAGATAATTACGCAAAGGGGTGGGCAGATTCACATATTTCTTAGAGAAGTAAGGTAAGTTAGGATTAGGTTTGTAGATCAGTGACTCAAAAGAACAGTGGCTCAAACTAGGTAGAAATTTCCCTCCCACGTAACAGTCTGAAGGTACGCAATCCAGGGTTTATATGGTATTTCTGCGGTGGTAAGTCCTTAGGGACTCTGACTTCTTCCAGAGTCCCTTCTTCATGGTTCCACCTTTCCTAAGATAGGACCCTTGTTCTTAGGGTCCAAGATGGCAGCAAGAGCTCCAGCCATCACATTCACATTCCAGGCAGCAGAATGGAGAAAAGGAAACAGAGACAAAGGATTCATTCGCATGAGCTGTGTTTTAAGGAAGATTCCTAAAAACTGCCACGCGGCATACCCACTTCTATTTCCTTAACTGGATCTGAGTCGCATGGGCTACATGTGAAATCTAGGGGGGGGCTAGGAAACATCTTTATTCTGCCCATGTATGTGCACAGCTACACATCCAAGGTTCTTTTTCTACAGGGGAGGTGAATGACAGATAGTGGGGAACAATGACTAGTCTGCCACAGGCTGAACAGCAGACTATAGGCGGGAAGCCGGAGTGGGGAATGCTTGATCCTGCCTGGGGGAGAGCTGGAGGGCTTCCAAGGAGAGAAGATGCTTTTGTTCTGTCTTTAAGGATGAGTAGGAGTTTGGCAACGTTAAACAGATGGCCCACCAAGAGGCGGACGTGCAGTCCGCCAGCCTCAACCACCACTTTGCTTTATATAAATACAATATTTGAATGGGAGGAGTGCTGAGACGGCTTCCCATGTCTCATGCAGCTGGCTGTCCGGCAGCCACTGAGTTTTATAGGGTCGAAGCGGTTCCTGAGGTGTGTGAGACAGAAAACACTCCCGGGCTCGATGAAGCATCACATGCCTTGTTAACGGGCCTCAGGGAGATCATGTCATACATGCGAGGAGATTGTCCTGGGTTTGTCTGCTGTTGGAAGGGCGGTGGGGCGATGCGAAAAGAGCTCGGATGCCAGCTGAGGTCAGCTGTGTGGCCCGGGGGAAGCTGTTCACCTCTGTGAGTCTCCCGCTTCCCCTGTCAAATAAAGGTAATACGACATCCTTGCAAGGATGTCGTCAGGGCCTAGAGAGGACACTTCCCCACGCACTCTGTCAGGTTGTGACCAGCAACCATGCCCAAGCTATGAGGCAAGGCGACTAGCATGCAGGTGGGGCGTAGGCTAAGATTGCCCTGGGGCTCCCTCCCCAGCACGGCCCAGAGGAGACGGAAGCGTTCTGTCCCCCGTGGTCACCCTGCTACTCAGACGGCACGCGCTGAGGGCTCAGCTGTGATGGGACAGGGCAGCCCGGGAGCCCATTTTTGAGCTAAGGTGAGATTTGATCTGGGGCTGCCCAGAAATGTCCAGGAGGGCAGTGGGCTTTAGAGCTGGTATCAGCAGGCACGGGCACGAGCTGGAGGAGTTGGAATCATGACTGTTATTGACCCTTACCGTACCCACGCCCTGGAGCTTGGGAAAACTCCGGATAAAATGAGTAGACACTCTGACCAAACCTGACCGACCTGGGGCCTCCCCTGTCAGGTGTGACGCCCATTGTGAGATAAGAACACAGAGGCTCAGATTTGCTCAGAGTGGCACAACTGAGAGATGGCATCACCTTAGAGGGGACTTTAGGTCTGCTGCACCAAGCTAGCCTATGACTCCATGGGGGTCATTCACTCCTAACTCCCATATTTTGCCACAGATACAGACAACTTGGGTAGGACTTGATCTTTAACTCAGACCTCTCCTCCAAAGTCTAGCCTTGCAGACTGAACTACCTAGGTGACATCTGCCTTCACGCTTCTCATAGGCTTCCTCAAGGTAACAAGTTCAAAACTGAGCTCTTGGTAGCTTTCCCCCGCCCCAAACGCTATGCTCTCCCGCTCAGTAAATGGCTCCATTCAGATGCTTCAGCCACACACCGGAAAGCATTTTTGGCTCCTTCCTTTCTTCCCTACCCTTCCTCCCCACTCCCAAGGCCATTCTGTGAGCACAGCTTGAAAGATCTGAAAGATCTGACTCCAAAACACACTTCCGGTCTCTGCTTCTCCTCATCTGCTGTCACAGTCTCTTCCGGAGACAACGACAAAGCCTCCTAACTGGTCCTCTGTCCCCTTGTGTTACATTCTCCATATTCAGAAGACAGTGTGATCTTATAAAAAGAAAAGTCAGACGGTGTATTTCCCTTATTTTAATGGATTCCAATAGCACTTACATTATATCCATACTCCTTGCTATGACTCTCGCAACTGTCCAGGCCGCTGCTGCTTCCCTCGCCTTGACTCCTGCCCCTCTTTCCTACGGTTCCGTCGCCTCTGGGCCATGGTGGGGAGGGGGCCCCAGGCAATCTTAGCTTATGCCCCACCTGCACTGGGTGACAATATCACTGGCCTTCTCTCTGTTCCTTGGATAGCTCAAGCTCTTTGTGTGTGTGTGTGTGTGTGTGTGTGTGTGTGGCCTCAGGGCCTTTGCACACATGTTCCCTTTTTCAGGAAGGTTCTTCCATTAACTCTCTTTTTTTAATGTTTCTATTTATTTTTGAGACAGAGAGAGACAGAGCATGAGCAGGGGAGGGGCAGAGAGAGGGGGAGACACAGAATCTGAAGCGGGCTCCAGGCTCTGAGCTGTAAGCACCGAGCCCGATGCGGGGCTCGAACTCACGGACTGTGAGATCACGACCTGAGCTGAAGTCGGACGCTCAACGGACTGAGCCACCCAGGCGCCCCTCTTCCATTAACTCTTAATGGCTGACTCCTCATCCTTTGGTTCTCAGCTTAAATGGCTCCCTCTGGGGGTGTTATCTGTCACATGTGTGCCCTTCCTTCTCCATATACGCAAGACTCATGCCCCAAGGTGAAAGATGTAAGCTACTCCCCCAGCTTCTTTTGGGCTGTGAAGCAGACATTTCACCAAAGGTCTACCCTCTAGATGCACCACACCTGCCTTCAAGGTATAAATGATCAACATGCTGAAGCAGTGCCCTGCAGAGTCCAAGCAGACTCCAGTTTGGGGAAGTCTGTTGACAGGAAAGCAGAGCAGAGCTTTGAGCATCTGGTCCCAGGAACACTGACTGGGGCACAGCAGTGTACCTTTGTGGGGGTGGAGGGGGCGGCGCGGGGGGGGCAATGGTTTGGGCTTCATTCTTTGTGGCCTGGCCTTTGAAACTAACATGCTGGCCTTTCCTGGGGGCGGTGTATCACCATTTCCCTGAACACATTTCTTCCTGAAGGAGACTACTGTTTGCAGGTAAGAAGATGATGATTCTTCCTTACAAAGATCTTTAACTGTCTTCTCTAATTTTTTTTAATTTATTTTTTTTTTTTTAGCATTTATTTAGTTGTTTTTTTTTTTTTAATTTTTTTTTTCAACGTTTATTTATTTTTGGGCAGAGAGAGACAGAGCATGAACGGGGGAGGGGCAGAGAGAGAGGGAGACACAGAATCGGAAACAGGCTCCAGGCTCTGAGCCATCAGCCCAGAGCCTGACGCGGGGCTCGAACTCACGGACCGCGAGATCGTGACCTAGCTGAAGTCGGACGCTTAACCGACTGCGCCACCCAGGCGCCCCAATTTAGTTTTGAGAGGCAGAGAGAGAGAGAGAGAGAGCGTGCGCGCGCATGAGCACGAGTGGGGGAGGGGCGGAGAGAAAATGAGTCACAGAATCAGACGCAGGCTCCAGGCTCTGAGCTGTCAGCACAGAGCCCGACGCGGGGCTCGAGCCCACGAACCGTGAGATCATGACCTGAGCCAAAGTCAGACGCTCAACCGACTGAGCCACTCAGGCACCCTGGAGTTTATGTTCTAATAGAGGGAGACAGATACTAAACACTACATAAATCCCCCAGGAAAAAGAGCAGCCTGTGATAAGCACTGTGCAGGGAATTCAATTAGCCACGTGATGATAGAGCGTCCCTGGGCAGTCAGGACCGGCCTCACTAGGGCAATGTCAATGAAACTGGAATCTGAATGTCAAGAAGGAGCCAGCCCTTCCTTAGAACTCTGAGGAAAGCACGTTCCAGGCAAAGGGGACAGTTAGTGCAAAGGTTCAGCTGGACACAGGCCTGGAGGGTCCAAGGGCAGAAGGAAGTCCGGTGGGCTGACTGGTGCCGAGGGAGGGAAAGGGTGTGAAGAGGCTGGAGAGAGAGGTGGTGGCCCGATCCCGAGGGGCAATCCAACTCAGGCTAAGGGGCCTGGATTGGATTCCCAGTGCATTGGAGAAACTGCTGGAGGCTTGAGGTGGCGAACAGCCTCATCTGGTGTCTATGAGAAGGTCACTCTGGTGGCTGTGTTGAGACTGGACTGGGGCCAAGGGAGGAGCCCAGGAAGAGGCTGCTGCAGTCGGCCAAGAGCAAACTGATGCCGGACCCTGGGAATCAGCAACCTCCTCACCCCTTTCCAGGTCGAGATCCTCCGGGCGGGGCCCCAGGGGGCAGGTGGATACACCAGGGTCGGGAGGGAGATTTGGGTGTTCCTGGCCAGCGGACCAGATGAGACCACATGGGGAGAACATGTAAGTGGAGGGGAAGGGGCCGGGACAGACTGACGGGCTGAGAGGACAGGGAGCCAGCAAGGAAGACGGAAAAGGAGCAGCCAGCCGGGAAGGAAGGCACTTGCAAAAGCCTGGCAACACAGAAGCCAAGCGGAAAAAGTGGTTCAGGAAGGTGGGAGGAGCCAACCACGTGACACAGACTAGAGCAGGCAACAGATTGGGGTCTGGGCTACGGCAGGAGCCGGCAGCAGCTGCAATGATGCCCTGAGGGCAGGGACCGACTGGAGGGCTGAGGCAAGGAAATGTGGGTGCAGAGGCAAAGGCCGGAAGTGCTAAGGCAGGACTGTTCAAAGATGGGTGTGATCCCACCGAGTGGGAGAAAGTGAGGACACAAGACAGAGGGGTTTGGTCCCCAGGGGGTGGGGTCCAGGGCACAAGCGGGGGCAGGGCCCGTCCTCCATAGGCCAGTGGTGAGGGTACAGATGGGGGCAGGTGCCTCGTGGTAGGAAAGGGAGTGCCTTCCTGCTGACTGCTTCTAACTTCTCAGTGAAGACGCTCCCTGGAGGGTGCTGGGGTGAAGGGCAAGTGAGACAAGTGAGACAGGCCGCCTGCAGTACAAGAATTCTGGGAAGGGAGACCAAGTGACATGAGGGTTTGGGGGAGGGGAGCACATGCTGGGGAAGTGTGCCAGCACAGGCGGGCAGTGCTAAGTGCCCCGTTGAGACGTGCGGCCGTGGATTGACAGGGGCCGCGGCCACACAGACACGTGCTATGATCTTCATCACGGCAGGGAGAAGGCCCTGCTATTATTGTGCTCATGTCACACCTGCGGAAACCAAGTCTCAGAGAGGTTAAGTAACTTGTCCGAGGCTGCACAGCTACAGTCTGAACCTGTGAGAGCAGGCTTTGAACCAGAGACCTTCAAGCCCTGTGGGGACATGGAAACTTCCCAAGGAGCACTGGCCTTGCCAGTTCAAAGAACATCCATTTCCAGATCCTTAAGTGTGCATCCGTCCTGTTTTTCTAAAAGTGATCGTCCTGAGAATGTAGCCTTTATCCCGCTTTACAAAAGAAAGGCACACCCTTCACCCATTCCAAACATTGGGTGAATGTGCCAGGGGGAAAACACCCCCAACTCCGCCCCAAACAAAGGGGAAAGTCTGGTCTAACGATGTATCGAGCCTCATATGCTACTTATTCAGAATGAAGCATATTAGAAATGAGGATGTTGGGGAGCCTGGGTGGCTCAGTCGGTTGAGCGTCCGACTTGGGCTCAGGCCATGATCTCGCAGTTCACGAGTTCGAGCCCCACATCGGGCTCTGCGCTGACAGCTCAGAGCCTGGAGCCTGCTTCGGATTCTGTGTCTCCCTCTCTCTCTGCCCCTTCCCCGCTCGTGCTCTCTCCCTCTCTCTCTCAAAAATAAATAAACATTAAAAAAAAGAGAGAGAGAAAGCAATGAGGATGTCGGTCTACAGCTTAAAGATTAGTAGCAGAGGGGTGCTTGGGTGGCTCAGTTGGTTAAGCATCTGACTCCTGATCTCTGCGCAGGTCATGATGTCACTGTTCTTGGGGTGGAGCCCCTCATCAGGCTCTGCGCTGACAGCGGGGAGCCTGCTTGGGATTCTCTCTCCCTCTCTCTCTGACCCTTCCTTGCTCATGGTCGCCTTCTCTCAAAATAAATAAATAAAAACTTAAAAAAAAAAAAAAAAGATTAGTGGCAGAGACAGCCATGATCATAGGAATGACCGCATAATTCCATAAGTGCTCTGAAGGACAGAGCTCTGAGTATCACAAGGAACCAAATGCAGATGAGGGTCAAGGCTGCTGACCCTGAGGATGAGGGCTTCAGCTGAGATAGAAGGATGAGTACGTGTCCCCTGAACCAGGGTGGCAACTCCTTCGGCCGAGAGCCAGAGAGTAAACGTTTTTGGTTGTGCGGGCCATGATGTCTGTACCGCAACTACTCAGCCCTGCCATTGCAGTGCAAAGCCAGTTGAAGACCATGGTCAACCAGGGACCGTGGCGGTGTGCCAGTGACATTGTACTTACAAAAACGGGCAGCAAAAGGCCTCTTTCATTGTTTTCCCAGACATTTATTTGTCCAGCTTTCTGGAAAAAGGAGGCCTTGATCGGTAGCAGTAGCATTTGGTTTCGTGTTACCAGTGGGAGGAGATGCTGGCAATGATGGTGGCAGGAGGGAGCTTACCTGGGACAAGAGGAGTGGCAGGTACAGAGGCCAGGTGTTGGTAGGGGTGTGACGTCCACAAGGAACTGAGAGAACACACCTGCAGGGGGAGCCCCAAGGGCCCAGGAAGGTGGAGATGGGGCCGGCAGGACGTGGCAGGGTCGCACAGGTCAGTCTACCCCACGGCAAGAGGAAGCCTTCTGAGGTTCGGGAGGTATTTTGTATTTGGGCTGGGGGAGGGTGTTTAGGGTAGGGGGAGTTGGGTGGGGCCAGGGGGGTGACCTAGGACATAATTAGATCTGCATTCTGAAAAGATTGCCGGGGTACCGGGGAGCCTGAGGGAGCAAGGAGCCTGCTGTAATATGAAGGAGCTCAAACTGGAGTGTAGGGAGGGGAGGGGAGGGGAGGGGAGGGGTGGTGCTGGAGCCGCCTAGGAGGGAACCTCACAGGGCACAGAGGGGCAAGCAGGGGTCGAGAGGACAGCCAGGCGCAGGTTTCTGACAAGGGCTGATAGGGAGGAAAAGACAGAAAAGCACCTTGAGCTGAGCCTCTGCTTCTTTTCCCTTCACTTCCCCATCACTGCATTTCTGGGGTCACCCTTTGGTGCTCTGCTCATGCACGCAGACCTAGAGGACCACCAGGACCCCTCCCCGAGACGCTGGGCGGGGAGCACAGAGATGTGGAACCACGTGGAAGTCACTGAAGCATCTGGGATGCAAAGGGTCTGGGTCTGTGACTCTCTACTCACCTTCGGGCCCTGGGCTTCCTTGCTCTGGGTAGACTTCTGGAAGGCACAGCTCTTAGAAGTGGACAAAGGAAACTCTCTTCCTAGGAAGGAGACAAAGTTGTGCTTCAGTTCCTTCTTGTCCTGGAGAGGACACCGTAGACCAGGAGTTTTGACACAGCCCCCTCCGTGGAGGACAACAGACCTCAGGCAAACCAGAGCCCCTCAGTCCATTACACCTGCTGAATGACCTTGGGCAAGTTACCTAACCTCCCGGATCCTGTTAAAGGCTTAAATACCAACTATCTTGCAGGGCTGGTGAGCCAATTAAATAATGTATGCGGAGCCCCATACACAGTGCAAGCACTCAACCCACAGGGGAAAAAAAGTACTGGCTTCAAAAGAAAAACCAAAAATTGAAAACATCGAAATGAAGACATGTTGGCTTAAACCCTTAAAAAAGTTAACAATCTATCCATCTCCTAGAGTGTCATTAAATTTGAAGATAGTTCACAGGTTAGATGTTGTTCACTTTGCAACTCCTGTGTGTCCACGGTGATTGCTGGGAAAGCGAACATATCAAGCGGGGGTCATGCTCTTCTCTGAGGCCTGCCAGGCAGTCCCTCCCCTGTGCCCTAGACTGGCGCTTCGCAAACTGGACAGCGCTTACGGAGCCCTGGGGGACCACCGCGGAGCCCGGTGCAGCCGGGCTAGAGACGCTGACGCTGCTGGTCCTTCTAGGTGGCAAAGGCGTGGCTCTCAGTGTCCCCGCGCAGACAGGGGGTTCACCATCGTGGGGACTGTACTGCCTCTCAGGGGGCCCCTCCTTCCTGCTGAGTGGCCTCACATTCCCTGAGGGAGGCAGACTGAGTGGGGACAATGGCTTCATTGGCCAGAGGGCCCACAGGCTGCCGAAAGCAGGAGGTTGATTAGCCCGTCTGGGCAAAATTCTGGCCCTCCAGCTGCGCAGGGGCGCCTTGGGCGCATGAGCCTCTCTGCCCCTCACCTCCTGCTGTAAGAGGAGGGGAACAGGCTCTCTCATAGGGGTAGAGTAGGCGGAAAACAAAGTAACACAAGCTGGCTGGTGCAGAGAATGAGTCAGTATGCGACAGCATGATTTTTACTGCTGATCAGAGTACAGCTTTGTGCTTAGACTCACATTCTTTCCGGTATGAACTGTTTCCACTATATTTGAGAAAAAAATAATTTTCTCACTCCTATCCTCCACTTCCAAAGGGTCCTGGGTGTGGCTGAGGGATTTCATTAGTGGGATGTTGTCTGCCCTCTGGGTCCTATTCACCTACTAACGATAGGGCTTTTCTGTGTCCCTGGGGTGCCCCCATGGAAAGGATAGACCTCCCCCTGCTGGAGAAAATATCCACCTGACCCAACAGTGTGTCCCTTTGGCTTTGCAGTTCCGTGTTTGAATCCTGACTCAGCCACCCACAGGCTGGTTACCCCGTAAAGTCCTCTCACCGCTGCCACGAGAAATGCCTCTGGGTCTTCTCGCATGCTGGTCCCTCTGCCTGGAACAGTAATTCTCCCCTTCACCCGCCTAAAATACACATCCTTCGAATCTCAGCTTCAATGCCACTTGCCTGCTCAGGGCTGGACTGGGTACCTCTCCCCATGCTGCCTCAGCACGCTGTAAGCCCCACCACAGTGCCCAATCCAAGGTAGTGTCACTGCGTTGCCTAAATTCCTCCTAGACTGCGCTATGGGTCCCAGTAACCGGACACCCAGAGACACCCAGGAACCGGCATCCATCGTTAGAATACAAAATTCCACCCCTGCAGCCCAGCAATTATGTTGCGCTGACTTTTAAGTGCACCCTGAACATCAGCATTTCAGTCATTTTGGTGACCGGACAGGGGAGCGGCAAAGGGAACCTGGCCCGACTACCTCAATACTAAGGCCCTGCCCTGCCTCCACTGGATACGGGGGGTGTGGCAGGGCCACAGGGGGCTAAAGTCCACAAGTGGCACCTTACTCTTTAACAGTCGTTTTCTCTGCAAAATTAATTCTTCTCTCCGGAATCTCTCTGGATCTAGTTCCGAGTAGTCCCAGCTGTTATAGCTCTGTAGGCAAGGATATATACCTAACAGAGAATGAAGAGGGATCGTGAAAACCTCCATAAAAGAGAAGGGAAGCAGAAAACTGAAGCCAGAGCCTCTCCTCCAGGAGCCCCCTGCTGGTCCTAGGGAGGCGGGGCTTCTAGCATTAGCCCCACCCTACAGTGGCCCTGAGCCTTGCGGAGGTGGGGGGAGCACCCCCCCTTCCTCTCTAGGTCCGCTTGGTGCCTTCCTCTGGAAAAGGGAGATGGTGGGGCGCCTGGGTGGCTCAGTGGGTTAAGCGTCCGACTTCGGCTCAGGTCATAATCTCGCGGTTCGTGAGTTCGAGCCCCGTATCAGGGTCTGTGCTGACGGCTTGGAGCCTGGAGGCTGCTTGGGATTCTGTGTCTCCTTCTCTCTCTGCCCATCCCCCACTCGTGCTCTGTCTCTGTCTCTCTCTCTCAAAAATGAGTAGATGTTAAAAAAATTTTTAATAACTTAAAAAAACAAAACAAAGAAAATGGAGATGAAGTTTGCCCTGCGTTCCAGACAGCGTGAGTGTCAAGATCCGATCCGATCACACCAGGACACGTGACCCTGTGTACACAGATGTGAAGGGTTTGTAGACTTTGGTTTTCCTGCCCATCTCCTCTGCTCTTGCTGGACTGGGAACTCCCTGAGCGCAGGACCTGGGCCTTATTCACCTTTGCACCTCCAGGGCTTAGCTCTGGACCTAGCACATAACAAACAGGTGCTTAGCAAGTATTTGTCCAACATCTTATCACACTTAGCTAAGTACCAGAAATGGTTCTCCCTGAATATTTGATGGTGACACTAATGGGGCTGATGCTTTCTCTTGTAAGAAAACCACGTGCTTCAGAGTCTTGGCTCCTGGAACCTGAACGCTCAGACATTAGAAGGATTCCACTTTCTCCCTCGGTTCTTTGGTGTAGAAAGGAAAAGACCAAGGATCACTTGAGAAGTTTTGACCACCTATGCAAAGATGCTGCCTCCACTGGACAAAGCAAGTGGACGGGGGGGGGGGGGTGGGGGGTTATTGCTGAGAATGCGTTAGGGGAAGGAGGCACAGTCTTGGACAAAACGGGAAATAGGAAGGGCGAAGCGAAGAAAAGAGTCGGAAAATGAGAGGAAGGATGGAGCAGTGGTCCAGACCTAGCTTTGCAGCGGGACAGCCGGGATCTGAACGCCTGCTCCCCTGTTTGGTGGCTGTGGGACTTCTTGGAGTCTGCATATGTTAAGAGGATTAAATGGGTGTGCAGAAAAGGCTGAGCAGGCACAAGGCTGTTCTCCTTGGAAAATCTTGCTTGTGAACTTGGCCTTTGGCTAGCATCTGCGAGTTGTCTGGTAAACATTTCTCTACACTGATATAACTTGCCCTAACTACCCAGAAGTGGGCGAATTCCTGGAAGTGTACAACCTACCGCCACTGAATCATGAAGCAATACAAAAGCGGACCAGACCGATAATGAGTAAGGAGATTGAGTCAGTAATCAAAAACCTCCCAAATAAAGAAAAGCCCAGGACGAGATGGCTTCACAGGTGAGCGCTACAAAACACTTAAAGAATTAACTCCAACCTTTCTCAAACTCTTTGAAAAAAACTGAAGAGGAGGGAACACTCCCAAACTCATTTTATGAGGTGAGCATTACCCTCATACCAAATCCAGATTAAGTATGCTGCAAGAAAACTACAGACCAAAGTCCCTGATGAATATAGATGCAAAACCTCTTAAGAAAGTACCAGCAAACTGAATTCAGCATCATTTTAGGAGGATCATACACCATGGTCAAGTGAGATTGATCCCTGCGATGCAAAGATGGTCCAATAGCCACAAATCAATCAATCAACATAATACATGTTAATAGAAGGAAAGATAAAAGTCATGACAGTCTCAATCGGTGCAGGAAGAACATTTGTCACAATTCAACATCTTTCTGTGATAAAGACACTCAACAAAGTGGGGACAGAAGGAACACACCTCAGTGTAATAAAAGCCCCATATGACAAGCCTGCAGCTAACATCATACTCAATGGTGAAGAAAAGCTTTTCTTCTAAGACCAGGAACGAGATAAGGGTGGCCACTCTCACTACTCCTATTCAACATAGTACCAGAAGATCTAGCCAGAATGATTAGAAGAAAGAAAGGAAAAAAGGCATCCAAATCAGAATGGAAGAAGTAAAATCGTCTCTGTTTGCTGATGACCCCATCTCGTACGCAGAAAAATCTAGAGGCCACCAAAAAACTGTTAGAATTAACAAATTCAGTACTTTTTCAGGATACAAAATCAACATATCAAAGTCAGTTGGGTTTCTATACATTGACAAGGAGCTATGTGGGGAAAAAATAAAGAAAACAACCCAACCCCACTCATGATAACATCAAAAACAGTGAAATACTTAGGAATAAATGTAACCAAGGAAGTGAAAAGTCTGTACATTGAAAACTGTAAGACACTGATGAGAGAAATTGAAGGAGACACAAATCAACGGAAAAATATGCTGTGTTCATAGATCAAGAGAATGAATATTGTGAAAACATCCATACTCCCCAAAGCCATCTGTAGATTCAATGCAATCTCTCAAAATTCCAACGGCATTTTTCACAGAAGTAGAGAAAACCATCCTAAAATTTGTATGCATCCACGAGAGACCCTGAATAGCCAAAGCAATCTTGAAAAGGAATATAGGTGGAGACATCACACTCTCTGATTTTAAACTATATTACAAAGCTAAGAAATCAAAATAGTATGGTACTGGCATAAAAACAGACACATGGATCAATGAAACAGAATTGAGAACCCAGAAATCAACCTACACATAGATGGTCAACTGACATTTGGTAAGGGAGCCAAGAATGTACAATGGGGAAAAAACAGTCTCTTCAATAAATGGTGCTGGGAAAACTGGACAGCCACATGCAAATGAATGAAACCGAACCCCCTAATTTTTACACCACTTAACAAAAATTAACTTGGAATGGATTAAGGACTTAAATGTAAGATCTGAAACCATAAAACTCCTGGGAGAAAATATAGGGAAAAAGCTCTCTGACATTGGTCTTGGCCATGACTTTTTGGCTACGACACCAAAAGCACAAAGCAACAAAGCAAAAATCAACAAATGGGACTACGTGCAACTAAAAGGCTTCTGTGCAGCAGGAGAAACAATAGCACGAAAAAGCAACACATGGAAGGGAAGAAGATATTTGCAAACCATACGTTTGATAAAAGGTTAAATATCCAAAGCATATAAGGAACTCATAGACTCAATAGCAAAAATAAGTAAGTAAATAAATAAATAAATAAATAAATAAATAAATAATAATAATAATCTGGTTAAAAATGGGCAAAGGACCTGAACAGTTATTTTTCCAAAGAAGACACGGCCAACAAATATGTGAAAAGGCTCTCAACGTCACTAACCAACAGGGAAATGCAAACCAGAACCACAGTGAGATATCACCTCACACCTGCTAGGATGGCCATGATCAAAAAGACCAGAGGTAACAAATGCTGGAGAGGATGTAGAAAAAAGGGAACCCTCTGCACTGTTGGAAGCGATGTAAATTGGTACTGTCACTATGGGAAACAGTATGGAAGCTCTTCAAAAAATTAAAAATAGAATGACTCTATGATTCAGGAATCCTACTCCAAAGGAAATGAAATCACAGTCTCAAAGAGATACCTGCACCCCTAGGTTCCCTGCAGCATTATTCACAATAGCCAAGGCATGGAAACAGTCTGAGTGTCCGTCAATGGGTGGATGGATAAAGAAAATGTGGCATATATATACACAATGGAATGTTATTCAGCCATAAAAAGAAGGAAAGCCAGACAATGCAACAACGTGCATGGGCCTTGAGGGCATTATGCTAAGTGAAATTAGGCAGATGGAGAGAGACAAATACTGTTACGCGATCTCACTTATAGGCGGAAGCTAAAAAGCCAAACTCATAGAAGCAGAGAGTAGACTGGTGGTCGCCAGGGGCTGGGGATGGAGGAAATGAAGAGATGTGGGTCAAAGGGGGTAAAGTTCCAGTTATAGGAGGAACGAGTCCCAGGGATCTACGGCATGATGGCTACAGTTAACAATACTGTGTTGTATATTTGACTGTTGTCATGAGAGTAGCTTCTAAGTGTTCTCACCATAACAACAAAATGATAATTACGTGTGATGAAGGATGTGTTAACTAACCTCATTATGGTAACATTTCCCAACATATGCATGCGTCAAATCGTTACGTTGTGCATCTTACACATACACAATGTTATGCATCAATTATACCAATAAAGCTGGGGGAAATTTTTCCCCTAACTGGTGAGAGTGGCAAGCTGTAAAACAGTGTGGCTTCTGCTGAACACCTGCTTTCCTGGAATTTTGGTACATGACAGACAGAGGTCTCTATGTGACCAGCCCCCAGTAGAAAGCTTGGGTGCTGTGTCTCTAGCGGGCTGGGCAGAAACATCACACGTGTTGCTGCATTTTTGTTGCAGAGGGATGACAGTGCCCTGCCTAACTCCTCACGGAAGGGAGACAGCATGAGGAAGCTTGCACAGGAATCCCTCCAGACCCTGCCTGTCATTTCCCTTAGGAATATTCCCTGGCTGGGGGCACCTGGGTGGCTCAGTCGGTTGAGCATCTGACTTCGGCTCAGGTCATGATCTCATGGTCCGTGAGTTCGAGCCCCGCATCAGGCTCTGTGCTGACAGCTCGGAGCCTAGAGCCTGCTTCAGATTCTGTGTCTCCCTCTCTCTCTGCCCCTCCCCTGCTCATGCTCTCTTTCTCTCAAGAATAAATAAACATTAAAAAATTAAAAAAAAAAAAAAAAGAACATTCCCTGGCTGTGTAACCTCATTGCACTGCCATAATCTTGGCTGTCAATACTCCTACGTGCTGAGACCTGAGAGTTCGCCTAGCAAATACCTTAATGTGGGAACGGCTTGGAGACCCCCAAGACAATAGGAAATGTAAAAGAGTGCTTACTTAGCACAGTACTTAGGACCCAGGAACTTCTCAATAGGTAGGAGATTTTAAGGGCCTTAGAAAATATCTAGGTTGAGAAGAGGGGAGTGGGGAAGGGGAGTGAAAAGTCGTTAAAAGCAAACACCACCCTGGGCACTCACTGTGCGGGCAGCAGGGACAAGGGGACTACAGTTGGGCCACGTGGAGTCACCCGGGGGAGGAAGGTTGGGATCGTCCAACCAGCATACACTTTGGGGTTGCTGAGTTCTGCATCCATCAGCCCACAGCACATGGCCAACTAATGGGGCTCGGCTGGAGCCTGCTCCCTACAGATGCACCGGGCACAAAAAGGGACTAAGAACATCTCAGAACTGTTCTGCAGAAGCAGGCGAGATCAGTACTCCACGGGGCTCTAACCACACACCTTACCTTCTTGAACGTCAACGAGAGTAGAGGATAGCTGCCTCAGTAAAGGGTGTTATGACCTAGGCTCAGGCAGAAAAGTATTTCCAGAATCGTGTTCCCCAGGACAGAGCAGGCTCCTCTTACCCGAAATCCATAGGCTCATTGTGTTGCAGATGTCCGACTTGAAATCGTGCGTGTTGAACCAGGACTGTGGGAAGCAGCAACAGAAGCTGGTGTACAGGGCTTTACTCAGAAGAGATGGCAGCCTCTGGGGAGGGCGGGGGCGGGGTGGGGGGGGGGGGAAGCAGAGCTCAGGCCATGTTCTGGACGTTTCCGCACCCAGAAAAGAGCCCCCGACTGTGGAAAGGATCTGTGATAAAACTCTCCACCTGACACCGTGCTGCCTTCCATTCATGGGGGGGGAGCAGTTTTATCTGTCATTGGCCCACATCTTGGTGGACTCCTTACCCTACCTGGGGACCCCACCTCAGACCTCAGGCTAGGCTTGGCCAGCAACCTCCCCCTCTCGCTTTCCCTCTGCACGCGGTCTGCGGCTCGGCCCCTCCTGCCACCTCCAAAGAGTAGCCCGGATGACAAGATACATTTGACCCACCCATCAGAGATTACAGGAAGTACCACGACTGTTATTTTTTTCCCCTCTGCACGCGTGGAACTGTTGTCCCTTCTTAACTACGGTTGAGTTCAAATTATACATTTATATCTGGCTTTGTTCATTTAACAATATAGTAGAAGCGCTTCCTCAGGTTGTTAGAAACTCTTCGGGATTTTTTTCCCCACGAGTGAACTTCATAATATTGTGCTGAGTAGGCATATCAAAATTTACTTCAACACCCCCATCGGGGGGGTACCGTTTCTATGTCTGGCACATAGCAGGCAGTCAAAACTTTGTGGAATGCATGAGTGAAAGCAGTTTTTCCCGAGTATTCGATTATGACTTCCAGAAGATGGAATCACGGGGGCGCGTGGGTGGCTCAGTCGGTTAAGCGTCCGACTTCAGCTCAGGTCACGATCTCGCGGTCCGTGAGTTCGAGCCCCGTGTCGGGCTCTGGGCCGATGGCTCAGAGCCTGGAGCCTGCTTCCGATTCTGTGTCTCCCTCTCTCTGCCCCTCCCCCATTCACGCTCTGTCTCTCTCTGTCTCAAAAATAAATAAAACGTTAAAAGAAAAAAAAAATTAAAAAAAAAGAAGATGGAATCACGATAGTAATCATAGCAGCTATGATACGTTGGGGGCTTATCGTAGCAAAAATGTAACGATGCACTTCTCTCTCAGACTGTCAGAGTGTCATTTCCCTAGATCCTTCACAACCCTGGCGATTATTCTTTTTAATCCATGCAATCCAGCAGGTAAAAAGGGGCATCAAATGGCTATTGTTTTAATTTGTATGTTTGACGACTGTTAAGGGTGAACTTTTTTTCCCATTTGTATTTCTTCCCTGATGAATTTCTGGTTTGGTACTTTGTCCGCTGGCCTAGAAGGGGTTTCGTAAGATTTATAAGAGTTCTTTTTTTTTTTTAAGTTGTTGTGTATTTAAGTAATCTCTGTACCCAACGTGGGGCTCGAACTCATGACCCCGAGATCAAGAGATGAACGCTCCTCCAACTGAGCCAGCCAGGCGTCCCAATTTGTAAGAGTTCTTTCCATTGTGTGACATATATGCTCCGTGATTTCTGCAGTTTCGCATTTGCCTTTTAACTTTGTGGTAATTTATTTACGTAGTTAAATCAGTCTTTGTGAATGTATGTATATTCATGCTTTTTAATTTTAAAATCACATGCTTATTTGAATACTACAGGAATATTTAAAGTAGAAAAGGAAGTCTCTTACAACCTCATTCCCCAGAGATAATCATTGCTAAGAGCTGGGTAAGTATTTTTCCAGATTTTTTTTTTTTCTATTCATAGGCACACATGCATATATACATATACGTTTTTAAACACAGAGTTCTAGAAATTTCTTTGCTTTCCACTTAAAATACGCCATATATAGATCTACCTTATTTTTTTGTGACTGCGGCATTGCAAGTCTGTGTATGAATATAGCACAACTTACTAATTACTCCCTCACGGAAAGAATGTTAAGGGCATTCTATTGGCATTAGCGCGATTTTTTGTTCTCCCAACAGTGGTTGATGCTCACTTTCAAGAGAGCCTCTTCATAGTGGGATTTGGATTCATGCAACAAGAGAGACGCGTAGTGTTGGGATATCCGATCGAACAACTTATTCTGGATCTCCTTGTTTGGCTACCAGGAATAAGAGTGGAGACGGAATTACTAGAGCCTCCTGATGAAACGGCTAAGGCCTGAGGTTCTTAAATGCGTACTCCTCTTATTCTCAAGAGGTTGAACCTCCTGTCGTTTAAGAAATAGTACGTTGATTTTTATAGGATTTATGAAATCGATTTATACGCGGGGCGGATTGTTGAAGAAAGTGCGCAAACTCTGGGGTGGGAGGTCCCGACCTTGCTCCCGGCCCTGTGCTTGACCAGCCATGTGTCAGGGACCAGTTCCTGATGCTCAGGGGGCTACGGGACATTGTGCGGAGGCTGAAGCACAGGATGGATGGAAGAGGCACGGGTGGGGAAGGGAAGGGGTGGCAGATGGGGCTGCAGGGGTGCTCCATAGAATCAGAGAGCCTGGTAGCCCATGTTAGAGACATTGGGGTTTATTCCATAGAAAAGTAACTTAAGCAAGGTAGAGAAGCACGCAGATTTACCTGGTACCTCTCGTGAAAGATCCACCAGAAGCTATCCAGCCATATGGCTCTTGGAGAAGGAGAAGAGAGAAACTTCTCTAATTCTCTATCGGAACAGAAAGACTTGGGAAGAAAAAAAAACACAACAACAACAACAACAAAATTCACATTATTATTGCTGTTGTCTTTGAAAACACAATTTTTCATTGTTTCATGATTTCACTGTGGCTGTGGAGCCACAACCAGATTAATAATCCTCTCCGTTCAGAACCCGCCTTTCCTCCTACGTTCCACAGCTTGTTATTGTCGCTAACCACACCATCTTCCCACCCGTCATCTTTGGAGTCAACTTAAAAGAAACACTTACCCTTTTAGTTTAGTGAGTGCCGACTATTTGCCTTTCCAGGCATTTTTACACATTCTCATCTAACCGCTAAGATAATCACACAAGGCGTGTTACTACTATCCCCATTTTACAGACGAGCCAACTGAGGACCGAAGAGCTGAAGTCTCTTGCCCAAAGAGATACAGCCAGCAAGTGGCAGAGCCAGCACTGGAATCTGTAACTGGAGGCAGCTTCCCCGTTCTGTCACCTACTCCGATCAGCGGCAATCAACAAACACACACGCTACACAGCTGCAAGCCACTGGACCAGGAGATTCTGCGGGGTTCACGGTAAGCACATGCAACTCTAAAATCGGAATTATCAGCGAACTCGGAGGGGCAGGAAATTCAGACTTCGTTGCAAGGCGACCCGGTAACCTGACTCTGATTCCAGAGCTACCATCGTAATAGCGTAATGACGTGTAATATTTGTTGAATGTTTACCATGTGTCTGGCACAGGGCTGTGCCCTTCACCCCTCACCTCGTTTTGTTTGTTACCATCTAGGTGGTAGCTACTACAGGCATCCCGGTTTATAGAAGAGGAAAGGGAGGGTCCGAAAGTTTAGGACTCTTGCCCAAGTTTGCATGGCCGGGGAGGCTCCGAAGCAGGCAGCTTGACCCCAGAGACACCACACACGCTGCCTCTTAGCATTATGAAGAGCAAAGAGATCCCATTCCTGCCCCCTCTTGGATGCAAAGGGGGAGACTCCTTGGCTCTCCCTTCAGGCCTATGGAAGCTGGGGGCAGGGTGCGTGGATAAGCCTCCCTCATCGGCAGGGAGTTCTCTGAGCCCAGCTCTCTGCTTTGTCTTTTTCACCGTTCCTCACGTTTCCTTAGAGAAAACATACAGTCAGAGCAGTCCAGAGCACAGACTTCGAATCCAGCTGGATTCAAATCCAGCTCTTATGCTAAGAAGCTGTGTGGCCTTGAGCAACGTTATTGAACCTGTATGTGCTCAGCTTCCTCAACCAGACGACAGAGGGAAACTGAAGGACTCCATAAGAATCTGCTTTCTGTGGGAGGCCTGAGTGGCTCAGTCGGTTAAGCTTCTGACTCTGGGTTTTGGCTCAGGTCATGATCTTGCGGTTTGTGAGTTCGAGCCTACTTGGGATTCTCTCTCTCTCTGCTCCTCCCCAGCTAATGCTCTCTCTCTCAAAATAAATAAATAAACTTAAAAAAAAAAAAAGACCCTGCTTTTTGCTCCTTTTTCCTCTTCTATTCTTGCTAGGACCTGCACACCCCATTTTACACAAGCCTCATAATGCAAATGGTGCCTGTCCTCCTTGTAAAGTACAAGGAGTTGATGATTTCTTTAGAATAGACATCTAAGGGAGGACCGGGTGAGAATGACCAGAAAAACCATCATATGCATATTCCGGACCACGGATGCTAAACATCTTGATGCCAAGACCCCCGGGCTCCAAGGAATAACACCTGGGCCTTGGTCTTTGTTCTAACCGTTCCTGGATGCCTGAGAGGACACATACACCGGAACACCATCTTCAGTAAAAACCCTAGACCCCAAACATAGGCAAGATTCATATCCCTTTCCTTTCTGAGTCTCCCAGACACTCTGTCTCTACCTGCACTCTCTCTATACCTTTAATAAACTCTGCTTTCACTTCCTGCTGGCCCCTGTTTGATTTCTATCCTGTGTGCAGCCAGGGACCCTTGGACCCAGCCTACCAGCATCACAGAGAATGGAGAGGACGTCCCTGCCCCGAGGACTGCCATGACCGTTACATGAGTGAGTGACACACACAAAGTGCTCAGAACAGTGTCAGGCACTTAGGAAACACTCACTAAAGGTGTGCTAGCTTACTTATTTATTCACACTCTTGCTTCCTTTCAAAAAGTTCATTTCAGCCCCTCAACAGCTATTTACTGAGCACCTACTAGGTGCCTAGATGGTGATGTAGAGTCCCTGCCCTGGAGACGTTCACAAGTAAGCAGACATTTATAATGCAGTGTGATGGGTGCCTTAAAAGAAGGAATCCCAGGGGCATATAGAGGGGCTCTGGGGTACCGGGGAGAGTAAAAATGACTGGATGGGGGTGCCTGAGTGGCTCAATCAGTTGAGGATCTGACTTCGGCTCAGGTCGTGATCTCACAGCTCATGAGTTCGAACCCTGCGTCGGGCTCTGTGCTGACAGCTCGGAGCCTGGAGCCTGCTTCAGATTCTGTGTCTCCCTCTCTCTCTCTACCCCCACTCTGCTCATGCTCTCTCTCTGTCTCAAAAATAAATAAACATTAAAGAAAAATAAAAAAAAAATAAATAAATCACAGTAAAAAAAAAAAAAAAAAAGACCAGAGGAAGAAGGGAGAAGGTACATTAGAGGGGACCGAGATGGCCAGGCAGAAGGCATGCTGAACAGCAGGTACAGTGATCCAGACAGGAAGGTGTGGGGCTTGAACTTGGCAGTGGCAGCAAGGAGGAGGAGGAGGTACAGGGAAGACAGCAGGTGAATCTCAGTGATGGCTCAGACGCAGGGGTGAGGACCAGGGAGGAGACTGGCTTATGCTTGGCTGGAAGGCTGCAGTTTTCGACCAGACAGGAGGAGAAGCAGTGTCATGAGTCTGAGAAGGGCAGGAGGCGGGGGGATATGGGAGTCGGAGTGCAGCATGGGGTTTGGAGGTGGTGACACAGTCCCTAAGTGTGATTAGCCTCATGCGGGGAGATGACTCATGTCCACCCCCTCCCCGCCCATGAGTCTGTGTAGAGGAAGAAGACGGAGCAGAGGCAGGGGTCCTGAAGAACGTGGGCTTGGAAGGCCAAAGCGTGCTGCCTGCATAGACGGAGAAGCTGCTACAGGGACCAAGGAAGGACACAACTGTCAAGTGCAGGGAGTCATCCTCTGGGCCAGTTCTACAGAGAGGTCGTCTAATGGAACAACAGAAACACATCCTGTGGACTTGGCCTTCTGAGAGCCAAGGGCGGACAGACACGGCCACTTGCAGTGATGGGAAAGGAATGGGGGTGGGTCACAGCAGCACCGAGGAGAGAATGGCAGTGAGAATGTGAGGGCAGCTCTTGGCCTCCGAGGCTCGGCTCGGTGCCGGGCTGGGGCCAACCACTGACCCAGGGAGACGGGCCTTTCGTCCTCATGGAGCTCACGGTCTAGTGATGGCCTCCCGATTCTCCAGAGCAGAGGCAATGTCACTGCCAAGAGGGAAGGTGCGGTGACAGAGGAGAGGGTTCGAGGAGGCAAGGAAGGGTTTGCAATGGCCCCTGAAGAGCTGGAACAGGGTCCTTTTAAAGGTAAGACACAGGGGGGCGCCTGGGTGGCTCAGTCTGTTAAGGGTCTGACTCTTCATTTCAGATCAGTTCATGATCTCACAGTTTCATGGGTTCAGACCCCATCCACCTTTATGTGGACAGTGCAGGGCTTGCATGGGATTCTCTCCCTCTCTCTCTGCCCCTCCCCAACTTGTGTTCTCTCTGTCTCTCTCAAAATAAATAAACTTAAAAAAAAACGGGGGCGCCTGGGTGGCGCAGTGGTTAAGCATCCGACTTCAGCCAGGTCACGATCTCGCGGTCCGTGAGTTCGAGCCCCGCGTCGGGCTCTGGGCTGATGGCTCAGAGCCTGGAGCCTGTTTCCCATTCTGTGTCTCCCTCTCTCTCTGCCCCTCCCCCGTTCATGTTCTGTCTCTCTCTGTCCCAAAAATAAATAAACGTTGGAAAAAAAATTAAAAAAAATAATAAAAATAAAAAAAAACAAAGGTAATGGGGCACCTGGGTAGCTCAATCAGTTCAGCATCCAACTTCGGCTCAGGTCATGATCTCACGGTTCATCAGTTCGAGCCCTGCATCCGGCTCTCTGCTGACAGCTCAGAGCCTAGAACCTGCTTCTGATTCTGTGTCTCCCTCTCTCTCTACCCCTGCCCTGCTTGTGCTTTGTCTATCTCTCAAAAATAAAGAAAAATAAACATAAAATCTTTTAGTTTCTATTTTTTTAATTAAAATTCAATGTTTAGGGGCACCTGGGTGGCTCAGTCGGTTGGGCGTCCGACTTCGGCTCAGGTCATGATCTCACAGTCCGTGGGTTCGAGCCCCGCATCGGGCTCTGTGCTGACAGCTCAGAGCCTGGAGCCTGCTTCGGATTCTGTGTCTCCCTCTCTCTCTGCTCCTCCCCTGCTCATGCTCTGTCTCTCTCTGTGTCAAAAATAAAAACATAAAATAAAATAAAATAAAATAAAATAAAATAAAATAAAATAAAATAAAATAAAATTCAATGTTTATTTATTTGGGGGGCTGGGGGGAAGTGCAGAGAGAGAGAGAGAGAGAGAGACAGAGGATCTGAAGCAGGCTCTGTGCTGACAGCAGAGAGCCCGACATAGGGCTCATGAATGGTGAGATCATGACCTGAGCTGAAGTCAGATGCTGAACAGACTGAGCCACCCAGGTGCCCCAATAAAATCTTAAAAAAAAAAAAAAAATTAAAATGAAGCCAAGACACAAATTTGCCTTGAGTTTCCTGGGAGCCGAAGGAAAACACCAGTTATAAGACTAAAATCATGCCAGGGGATATGTAGTTTTTCTGGGGATTAAGGCCTAAGGAGAACATTCCCCATGGGACCTCAAAAATGGAACATTAAGTAACAGCAGTCACTGTCCTCGGGGCTACCCTCACAGCAAATGGAACACAAATACATGTGGCTGTGCCAGTGGGCCTGTGCAGGGCAAGCAAAGTCATGGGCTGGAAGGTCACACAGGGACAACAGGCCCATAAAACATACAACCTATTTGTTCTCAAATCTTTCTCCTATCTATCTATCTATCTATCTATCATCTATCTTTAACTTTTTTTTTTATTATTATTTAAGTAATCTCTACACCCCAGGTGGGATTTGAACTCACAGCCCCAAGATCAAGAGTCGTATGCTCTTCTGAGTGAGCCAGCCAGGTGCCCCGTTCTTTTTTTTTTTTTTTTTTTTTGAAGTACAGGCAAAGGAGGGAAAAAAAAGTATGACCTTATCGCTCAGTGAACATCGGTGATATCTACTATGGTTCCATCACCAGATTTTCCTGTATGTGCTTACGTAGCATCATACTGTAGAGTTTCATATACTGATATCTTTCATTTAACGCCACAGCATAGCACAATACACTCTTTGTAAACATTGATTTTAATGGCTAAATAGTCCATGATACATATACCCCAAATGACCGTGCTAGTCTTCTATTATTCATCATTAAGCTAATAGCACTGATAATAAAAACTACCACTTTTTGAGAACTTCTGACTTACTAGGCACTGCGCTAAGGACTTTTTATACACTTAAATAAGATCCTTATCTTATTTAATGTTACAATAACACCTCCAGGTAGAGACTGCTTTTATCCTTACTTTACAGCAGAAACTAGAGCCCAGAGAGCTACTTAGCCACCAAGAGGCACTACCTCCCTTCCAGTTTCTTGCTGTCCCAAATAACAATGTGGGGAATATCTTCTTACACTGCCCTGGAGGGAATGTGACGCTGTGAGTGCCCGCCGCTCCTCCACCCCTCTGCCAAAGACGGCAGGGGACCAGGCACCTGGGCCCAGAGCCCCTACCGACTGGTTAGAGGCAGCTGTCCACTTGCTGACTGCAGTCCATGCTGGAGCCAGGCGCTGGAACTCCAGCAAATACCAGTGTCATCTTGGGCGGCGGCTGGCCCAAACAGACCATCACTCTTAGAAAGTCTGAACGCAAGACACAGAGGAATGAGACCGACGGAGCTGATGCAGAGACATCGCCGCCGGAGAGAAGGCAGCAGGGAGAAATCGTGAAGAGAGGAGGGAGTGAAGGAAGGTGGCTGGGCAGAGGGAGAGAGGAGCGAGGGAAAGAGAGACAAAGGGACAGAGGGAGGAGGAGAAAAGAGAGAGAGATGGGGTAGAAAGTGGTTTGAGGCAGCAGTGGGAAGTACAGGTAGACAAGGCTGAGAACCTGGGTCCCCGCAGGGGACGATGATTGGAACTGCTTTGGGGACACCATGAAGGGCGATGAGACCAGCTATAGGGCTGCGGGTACCATTTCCTGGGCTTCCTCCCCTCCCCACACCTCTCTGCACTCATCCCCACCTCTTGAGTGGTCTCACATACTCTAGGCCTTGGAATACTGCCCCCACCCTCCGCCCTGCTTCCCAAGGAACCCAGCGTGCTCCAATGCACTGCTCTCCAAGTGGTTGTTCTCCCCAAGGGGCACCAAGGGACGTGTGAGAAAAATACTCTAACTAATGTCTAACTAAGAAAAGCAAGAAATTAAGATTACTAATATATAATGTAGCAGTTGACAACAGAGCATGTATGTATATCATTTACAAAAAAACATAGATCGTGACGGTGCACGCTCAAAATTTTTTGCCAATAAGACACATGATCAAAGCAGTCTGGGGGCACCTGAGTGGCTCAGTCGGTTAAGAGTCTGACTTCGGGGGCGCCTGGGTGGCGCAGTCGGTTAAGCGTCCGACTTCAGCCAGGTCACGATCTCGCGGTCCGTGAGTTCCAGCCCCGCGTCGGGCTCTGGGCTGATGGCTCAGAGCCTGGAGCCTGTTTCCCATTCTGTGTCTCCCTCTCTCTCTGCCCCTCCCCCGTTCATGCTCTGTCTCTCTCTGTCCCAAAAATAAATAAAAACGTTGAAAAAAAAGAGTCTGACTTCGGCGCAGGTCATGATCTCACAGTTTGTGAGTTCAAGCCCCACGTCGGACTCTATGCTGACAGCTCAGAGCCTGAAGCCTGCTTCGGATTCTGTGTCTCCCTCTCTCTCTGCCCTCCCTTGCTTGTGCTCTGTCTCTCTCTCTCGCAAAAATAAACATTAAAAAGAATTTTTTATTTATTTTATTTATTTTTTAATTTTTTTTTAACGTTTATTCATTTTAGAGACAGAGAGAGAGAGAGACAGAGCATGAACGGGGGAAGGTCAGAGAGAGAGGAAGACACAGAATCTGAAACAGGCTCCAGGCTCTGAGCCGTCAGCACAGAGCCCGACGCGGGGCTCGAACTCACGGACCGTGAGATCATGACCTGAGCCAAAGTCGGTCGCCCAACCGACTGAGCCACCCAGGCGCCCCTAAACATTAAAAATAATTTTAATAAAAAATTAAAAATGAAAAAAAAACACAGTCTGGAAATGAGTGCTCAGGGAGGAAGAATCTAGGTTTTGGAGGGAACATGGGCTTGGGTTCTAATCTCGGCTCAGTTACTTGCAAACTGTCTGGCAGTGGAAACTGACTTACTTGGTGAACCTGACTCAGTCCCTTGGGGTATAGAACGGGGACGGCTATGTCTGTCTGCCACATGGTTGCTGTAAAGCTGGGGTACAGCTGGGCCCACAGCAGGGGGATCACACAGTTGGTAACATTGGTGAGCTGCCCACTCTCTTTCCTTACCTTGCCACTAAGGCGGTTTCTCTCAGCCCGGACCACATTACCCACCATGTCACAGAAGTTCACCCCATTTGGAAGCCTGTTCGGCACAGCGCTGTTAAATTTATGTGGGTGCTGGTACAGCTCCACCAGCAGATTTTTATCTGCTGTTTTCTGAAACAAAAAGCAGATACGAAAATGAGGTCCATCATTTGACAGCTTAAATTGAAACTAAAAACTAGGATATCTTCCCCTTTTTGTCACGAAGATGGTGTAACAAGCTTACAGAAACTGGACAAAATGGGGGCACGTTCAGGACCCCAGCACCTCTTACCAAATGATTTACATTATTTCTGTTTTCCCTTTCAGGCTCTGAGCACATTTACAAATGTGCAGACATAACTCGACTCATGTGACAATACATAAATACACACACACACACACACACACACACAAACACACACACACACACACGGTGTCCTGCTTTCTCCACCTTAGATTTTCCACATTGCTACACTGTCTTCAAATGTATCACTTCAGAGAATAGATCCTGTTATGAAGATGGGCTATCATTTAATTGACTACTCACGGATTACTTCCAATTAATATTACTGTCATTAATAATTTGGAGCATACAGTTTCCCCCTTGGGTTTATTCATTATGAATTTCTGGGGAAAAAAGGCAATATAACAACTATAAAAAATGTGAAGATACAGAAAAGTGGAAAGAGAAAACCAACTGCCATCACCCGAGGCACCTGCTGGAAACATTTTGGGGGACTGAGTTACTTTTCTTTTCTTTTTTTTTTAAGTGTGTTTATTTCTTTGTTTTGAGATAGAGACAGAGAGAGCGAACTACTTTAAGATCCTCTAAAAAGGGCACTCTGCAGTTTTCCTGCACCATCACCATCCAGGTGCCAAGCGTCCCCTCCCCAGGACTAAAATCTCTTTCATGCCCAGCAGAAACCAGTCAGAGAGAGACCCAGCAGCAGATCCCTTACCCTTTTATTGACGAAAGATTTGACATTCCTAGATTCCGAGCCTCTGCAAATATGCTGCGATTTTCTGTGACTCTTGTCTGCAGAAGAATGGAAGAAGAGAAAGGATGTAACCACGAGGTCTGTCCATCGCTGCGCAGTAACCATAGCTGTGATGTTTCACTCACTCAGCCTGAGCTGCCAGAGGACAGTCACACTGTTAGTCTCACTGGTCCCCGCCTGAGTTGCTGGCTCCCTGGATCCAGGACCCACCGCAGACAAGCTGTCCCCTTGCCCCCAAGCCTGTTCCCTCGTCTGTAAACTCTGTTCAGCGGCACCTAGCCCACAGTTGGGGGCATTGCAAAGATTTAATAGGAGAAGTGCCACCTGGTAGGCCGTCTCTAAGTGAGCCGTCCTTCCCTCCTAACTTGCCCAGTGCCAGCAAGTCAGACATGAGACTCCTCCAGAAGAGGACAAAGCTATCCTCGGTTGAAATGCTGGATTCCTGCTTAACTGCATTTGAGATACTAACAATAGCCAAACCCCACAGAAACACCATCAAGGCTATGAGAAAGGATTTTTGCCTCTGTCTCCCGGGTCGCCGTGACTTTTCTCTCTCAAAGCCTTCTTCTCCAACTCAAATCTCTCAATTGCCTTCAAAAACCAGAAAGAAATGGGGCATTAGGGATTCGTGCAGATCTCGGTGCGGGATGAGGGTCAGAGATCAGGCCATTTCCCCCGCTGGGGCGCAAAAGTCCTGGAGCAGAGGTTGTGGCAGCGCCTCCCTGTCCTCCCCGTAGGTGCCAGGGTCTCCGTGGCCACTGGTGTCACTGACCTCATTCCCACCCCACCTCCGCCCCCACCGAGTGTCACCACCGATACATCCCCCCACTTTGCCTTCTCCCACGCTGCCCCTCCTCCTGGCTATGCCTCCTCTTGTCTATACCTCTGAGGAGGTACAGGATGTGGGAATGGGGCTCCAATCAAGCTCCCTGGGCTAAAAGCTATTGTTTAAACTCTCTGTGAGGGGGACAATGATACCTACCTTCTAGGGTCCTTGTAAGGATTGGATATACAGTATTGAGTGCATCTTAAATTTTTTTTAATGTTTATTTATTTTTGAGAGAGAGAGAGAGAGAGAGAGCGCATGTGCGCGTGAGCAGGGGAAGGGCAGAGAAAGGGGAAGACACAGAATCAGACTCCAGGCTCTGAGCTGTCAGCACGGAGCCCGATGTGGGGCTCGAACTCATAAACAGTGAGATCATGACCTGAGCCGAAGTTAGACGCTTAACCGATTGAGCCACCCAGGCGCCCCTAATGCATCTTAAAACACTAGTGCGGAGGCTACTACCAGATAGGAGCTGCTCAATAAAGGCTAATTATTATTATTATTATTAATCACCAGACCCTTGACTTCTCAACAGATTTCTCTTGATCTCTGATTCCTCCTCCCCCATTCCCGCATCCCCTCCTGAGGGAACAAAAGGAAAGAAAAATGAATGTCAGTGACCCAACAAGTTGTACTGATCGTCGGCCATGAGCCCGGCACTGCTCTTGGACAATAAAGTCAACGAAGAATGAGGATTCTGTGTCCTCGCCTTTAGGAATTTACCATCTGTTTGGACAGTTGACATCAGCACACGTGGGCCAAGTAGGTCCTAAATTGCTACATTTGGGTTTGAAGCAATTGAGAGTAGTGTGAACTAGAAGAGTCACAGAGGACCACCCACGAGCACTGGGGGAAATGATGAGGCATCTGTCATGCTTGATAAACTGTGAAACGCCCCCTCCAGTCTTCTACCCCCTTTATGAGCATGTGCGCAGGTGTATGTAGATGGGGAAAGGGCTCACACTGGTAGGTCTACATGTCAACGCTTGTCACTCCAAAAACATAGGCCAAGATAAGGCATGATGAATGAAAGGGAGGGGTATGAGCCAAGGCAGTGGAACAGCGGTGTCTCTGGTCCTTACCGGGATGCCACTTGTAGCCCATATTGTCAAGGCCTTGGAAGGATGGACAAGATTTGCACACGGAGAGAGCAGAATGGATAGGTGAACGCTGGGGGACCAGCAAGTTTTAGGCGTCAACGAGGAGACCAGCACTGGGCCGTGTGCATCTGAGATGACAGTGGTACCTACAAGTGGGGCTGTCCCCCTACTTGGGGAGTTTTTCAGATACACCAATTCAATGGAGAAGTTCATTCCTTGCATCTGCCTCAGCTCATGAATTGTTTACGTACTGTGGCTCCTGAATAGTTCTCTACTTAAAATTTGAAACCAGTAAATAATTTACAAGGTACAAAATCAAGTAGTAGAGTAAAAAGTCTCCCTTCTGCCTCCCTCCACCCAATACCCTTAATTTCTTGCATAGCCTTCCGGAGACATCATGTTCAAATGAGAGCACGCAGAACACACGGTGCCACGTGATGCTCTTTCCACTTTTAGTTTTTTTAAAAACCTCCCAGGGGAGTCTGATGATCACTTAGGTTTAGGTGCCACTGCTCTAGGTGGCTGGGAATATGAGGCTGAGATACAGGAGAGAAGCTAGGATTTGCAACCATATCATTCATTCCACAAGTATTTCCTGAGCACCTGCTCAAGGCCAATGCTGTGCCCATGTCGGGGATGCAGCAGAGAGCAGCGAACGCTGCTGAGGCTTCAGGGATTAGTGGGGAGAAGCCAGGGGTTTTGAGGTGGCCAGTGCTGCGGTGGGGAGGTACAGGATGCTAGCAATGTGCCCAGAAGGGCCCCTCCACTAGTCTTGGGGTACGGGATGCAGAGAAGTCCCTTCTAGGGTGAGGACGTCCAGGCGGAGAGCAGAAGGAATGTGCCTGCCACTGGGTGAATGGTGAAGCTGTGCTATGAGTGGAGCTCTTGAGGGGAAGGGGGCCGGAAGGAAGAGCCAAGCAAGGGGTACCTGGTGCGGGGCGGGGGGGGGGGGCGCGCTCAGTCGGTTTAGCATCTGACTGTTGATTTCGGCTCAAGTCATGATCTCACAGTTCGTGAGTTCGAGCCCCACGTCAGGCTCTGCGCTCAGTGCAGAGCCAGCTTGGGATTCCCTCTTTCTCTCTCTCTCTGCCCCTCTCCCGTGCTCTGTCTCTCTCATGTGCTCTCTCCTTCTCTCTCTCACTCTCAAAATAAATAAATAAATAAATAAATAAATAAATAAATAAATAAAGCTGAAGAGAGCTAAGCAAAGTTCATGGCCAGAGAGGTGGGAAGCCCACAGTTAGGGCATGGAAGAAGGAACAGAAAAGGGACCTGGTGATGTTGGATGTGGGGAGGAGGATCTGGGGCTCATTCGTTCACTAGTGCACACTTAAGAAGCACCTCTTACGCACTAGGCACAGGGCTAGGTGCCAGGCAGCACGGCAGCATGGAGGCTGGAGAAACCCGTCTGGCTATGGCCCTGACACAGGAGAAGTGGCTGCACAGTCAAGGCCCGGTGGACAAAGGGCAGGGCAAACCGCAGCCAGCAGAGCTTGGGCAGGGTAGCCTAGGGATGGGCTCTTGTGGCAGAAGGCAGTGAGCATCTGACAGATTTGACCAGCTGCTTGGGCAGAGGACAGGAAGGACAGGCAAGGGGTCCCTTCCTCCAGGTCATATGAGGACCCAAGGTTGCTCCCACCAGCCCTATCTTGGTTCTCACTGGCCACGAAGGGCACCTGAGGAGATATGCCAATGCTAGGCAATCTTTTTTTCTTTTTAATGTTTACTTACTTATTTTGAGAGGCAGGAGAGCGAGAGAGAGACAGACAGAGAGAGAGAAAGAGAGAGAGAGAGAGAGAGAGAGAGAGAATATGGGCAGGGGAGGGACAGGGAGAGAGAGGGAGAGAAAGAATCCCAAGCAGGTTCTGCACTGTGAGCACAGAGCCCGACAGGGGACTCTAGTCCACGAATCGTGAAATCATGACCTGAGCCAAAATCAAGAGTCGGACACTTAACTGACCAAGCCACCGAGGCGCCCCATTGCTCGACAAACTTAAGTAGCCACCAGATCCTGTTTCTGGGAGCAAAATATTCTTTCTCTTGGTTTTAAAATTATCATAAAAAATCACAGAACTGACATGCAAATACATTCCTTTTGTAAACAACATTACAGAAGTATCCAGAGTAAAAAACATGTTTACTCGCCTTCCTTACCACCCCCTTTCCAGAAATGACCCCATTGACTGTTTGGTGTGTATCCTTCCAGACTTTTCTCCTACACGTTCATACATATAGAGTGTCCTTCCTGTGAGCCAGGCACTCTTCTCGGGCCTGATTTATGGGGCTTCATGAGTTTTAACTCCTCTAATTCTTACAACAACCCTATGAGGTAGATACATTATTTTTGTTATCACCATTCTCTAGAAAACAGAGATTCATAAAGGTTAAACAATTAACCCAGTTTCACAATGTGAGAAAATGGCAGGAGCAGGAATTTAAACACAGACCGTCTTATTCCGGAGTCTGTGTCTCTAATGCTATACCTCTCCTGCCTACACAGGCACACACAGAGAGATGAGGTTTCTTAACTTATATGGAATCACTCCAAGTTGTGTGTGTGTGTGTGTGTGTGTGTGTGTGTGTGTGCATGTGTGTGTGTATGTTGCCTTTATTCACAATTTAATTCTAAGCTCTACTCGATGGTGGGGTAGGTAGGGGCAAGTGAAGCTAATGGTCTCGCTGCGTGAGTGAAAACAGGGCGGAACCTCTGGGAAAGGCAATTCGACTGTATTTACCAAAATTCGAAATTTCACTTCTAGGACTCTAGCGTGCAGAAATACTTGCAAATGAGCCCCAAGATACAAATACAGAAATATTCACGTGTTCACTATGATGAAAACACCACTGAAATATTTATCGGTAGGGAATAAATTAATGATGCCGCATCCAACAAATAGAATATTATGCGGTCATGAAAAGACCAGGGCAGATCCACAGTCGTGACTTGGAAGCATCTCCAAGAGTTATTGAAGCTAAAAATAAATAAATGAATGAGTGAATAAAAAACAAACAAAAGCAGGTTACAAAAACAGTATTTATGGTATGACCCTACTCACATTAAAAAAAGGAAATGATAACCCTAAATATATGTGTTCTATGTTTCTAAATGTATAGAAAAAGTTCTTGGGCACCTGGCTGGCTCAGTTGATGGAGCACGCAACTCTTGATCTCAGGGTCATGAGTTCAAGCCCCATGTAGACATTATTTAAAAAATAAAAAATTTTAATTTAAATTTTTTTTAATTTACATCCAAACTAGTTAGCATCTAGTACAACAATGATTTCAGGAGTAGATTCCTTAGTGCCCCTTCCCCAGTTAGCCCATCCGCCCTCCCACAACCCCTCCTGTAACCCTCTGTTTGTTCTCCATATTTATGAGTCTCTCATGTTTTGCCCACCTCCCTTTTTTCATATTATTTTTGGTTCCCTTTCCTTACGTTCACCTGTTTTGTCTCTTGAAGTCCTCATAGGAGTGAAGTCATATGATATTTGTCTTTCTCTGACTGACTAATTTCACTTAGCATAATACCTTCCAGTTCCATCCACAAAGAAAAATAAAATATTTTTTTAAAAACTCTGGAAGGATACAAAACAAACAATTAACAGTGGTTACTTCTCAGGAGGAAATAAAGGGCTGGGAGTGAAGCAAATTTTACGGTTTACTTTTATACTTGGAGATGGTTTGAATATTTTAGAATAAGGATGCATTGTCCTGGCATTTAAACTTTTTTTTTAATTCTAATTTTAATTTATTGGGGGGAGGGTGGTGCAGAGAGATGGAGAGAAAATCCCAAGCAGGCTCTGTATCGTCAGCGCAGAGCCAAACGTGGGGCTCGATCTCACAACTGACTGTGAGATCATGACCTGAGCTGAAATCAGGAGTCAGATGCTTAACCCACTGAGCCACCCAGGCACTGCTAAATTTTAAAAAATAAATCAAAAAGACTAACTCAAGAGATGAACTGACCCCAAAGGTCAGCACCAGAAAAGTTGGGATAGGGGTGCGGCTAAAACCTGCAGAGGCATTCACCAGGTCTGGGCCCTGGGGACAGAGGAGCTTGGTGGAAAGCAAGACGCCAGGGGTAATGGGGTTAGGAGATCTAGTTGGAGCAAAGTGGCAGAAAGATCTACAAAACACACAGCTGGTAAAGGACTGTTATCCAAAATACACAAAGAATTGTTAAAACCCAACAATAAGAAAACAAACAACTCAATCAAAAAATGGGGCAGGGACACCTGGGTGGCTCAGTCAGTTAAATATCCAACTTCGGCTCAGGTCATGATCTCGTGGTTCGTGAGGTCGAGCTCTGCGTAGGGCTCTGTGCTGACAGCTCACAGCCTGGAGCCCGCTTCGGATTCTGTGTCTCCTTCGCTCTCTGCTCCTCCCCTGCTCATGCTCTGTCTCTCCCTCTTTCAAAAATAAGTAAAAATTTAAAAATATATATATTAAAAAAATAAATTAAATAAAACAAAACAAAATTTTAAAAAATGGGGCAAAGACTTCAACAGACACCCCACTCAAGAAGAGAGACAGATGGCGAGTAGGCATATGGAGAGATGTTCAATGTCATTAGAGAATCGCAACTTCAAACGACAAGCAGATATCGCTATATCCTGATTAGAATGGCCAAAATCCAGAACACTGATAACACCAAATGCTGGTGAGAATGTGGAGTGACAGGAGCTCTCATTCATGGCTGCTGCGGATGCAAAAGGGTACAGCCACTTTGGGAGACACTTTGGCAGTTTCTTTCAAAACTAAACATACTCTTACCAGATGGTCCAGGAATCACGCTCCTCACTATTTACCCAAATGAACTGAAAATATACATCCACACAAAACCCTGCACATAGATGTTCACAGCAGCCTTGTGCATAATTGCCAAAACTTAGAAGCAATCGAGAGGTCTTTCCGTAGGTGAACAGATAAATAAACTGTGGCACATCCAGACAAAGGAATATTATTCAGCCCCAAAAAGAAACGAGCTATCGAGCCATGAAAACACATGGAGGAACCTTAAATGCTGATGACTAAGTGGAAGAAACCAATCTGAAAAGGCTGCATCCTGTATGGTTCTAACTCTGTCATTTTGGAAAAGGCAAATATGGAGACAGCAAAAAGTTCAGTGGTTGCCAGGAGATGTGGGGGCGCCGTAAATGGGGGGGGGAGGATTTTTAGGGCAGTGAGACTATTCTGTAGGATGCTACTAAGGTGGGGCGCCTGGGTGGCTCAGTCGGCTGGGCATCCGACTTCAGTTCAGGTCATGATCTCGCGGTTTGTGAGTTTGAGCCCCTCGTCGGGCTCAAAGGTGGATATAGGTCATTACACATTTGTCCCAACTCATAGAATGTACAGCACAGAGAGCCCTAACGTGAACAACGCACTTGGGGTGATAATGATGCGTCAATGTGGGTTTATCACTTGTAACAAATGTACCAGTGTGGTGACAGGCAGCTTGCCCATGTGTGGGGACAGGGGTATGTGGGAACTCCGTACTTTCAGCTCAATTTTGCTGTGAACTAAAACTGCTCCAAAAAAGAGGGGCGCCTGGGTGGCGCAGTCGGTTAAGCGTCCGACTTCAGCCAGGTCACGATCTCGCGGTCCGTGAGTTCGAGCCCCGCGTCAGGCTCTGGGCTGATGGCTCAGAGCCTGGAGCCTGTTTCCGATTCTGTGTCTCCCTCTCTCTCTGCCCCTCCCCCGTTCATGCTCTGTCTCTCTCTGTCCCAAAAATAAATAAACGTTGAAAAAAAAAAATTAAAAAAAAAAATAACACTGCTCCAAAAAAGAAAGCTTGCTAATTAATAAAATATATCTCTGAGACCCCTATTGTGCAAAGGTGCTTTCAAATAAATGGGCGGGACTCCCGGAGCCCTTCCTGCCCCAAGCCTTACCTCAGCTTGGGTAACTCACCAGGTTGTTGGCCAACGCATTGGGACTCAGATCTAGCTCCCCAATCGTT